GGTAAGACCATCCAGGTCATCGCCTTCCTCTCGGGAATGTTCGACGCCGAGCTCATCCGGCACGTGCTGCTCATCATGCCCACCACCCTGGTCAGCAGCTGGCTGGCCGAGTTCGCGCGCTGGACCCCCGGCCTGCGCGTCAAGGAGTTCCACGGCACCAGCAAGGCGGAGCGCACCAGGAACCTGGAGAGGGTCCAGAGGAGGAACGGCATCGTGGTCACGAGCTACCAGATGCTAATCAACAACTGGAAGCAGCTCGCCAGCAGCTACGAGCAGGAGTTTGTCTGGGACTACGTCATTCTCGACGAAGCGCATAAAATCAAGTGCCCATCTAACAAAACGACCAGGTGTGTGTACGCAATTCCTGCGAAGCACCGTCTCCTCCTGACGGGCACCCCCGTGCAGAACAACCTGCGGGAAATGTGGTCCTTGTTTGACTTTGCGTGCCAAGGCTCTCTCCTGGGGACAGCCAAAACGTTTAAAATGGAATATGAGAACCCCATTACCAGGGCAAGGGAGAAGGACGCAACTCTAGGCGAGAAAGCGCTGGGGCTAAAGATATCTGAGAATCTAATGACAATTATAAAGCCGTATTTCCTCAGAAGAACCAAAGAAGATATCAAAACCAACCATCCTGACAAACCAGACGCTCCTCTCCCTGAGGATCCGTGTGAGAACAGCGCTCCCATCATGCCATCCCTCACCAGGAAAAACGACTTTGTCGTGTGGGTGTACCTGTCACCGGTGCAGGAGGAAATATACAGGAACTTTCTCTCTCTGGATCACGTGAAAGAAGTGCTGATGACGACCCGATCGCCTCTGGCTGAGCTGACTGTCCTGAAGAAGCTTTGTGACCACCCCAGGCTTCTGTCTGCGAGAGCATGCATCCAGCTGGGCTTGGAAGAGCAGGAGCACCCTGAGCAGGACCACAGGGGCAATGAAGCGCTTTCAGGTGCTAATGAAATAGATCATCTCCCTGATGAGACCCTGATTCGGGAGTCTGGGAAAATGCTGTTCCTGGTAGGACTTCTGGAAAGGCTGCGAGAAGAGGGACACCGAACCCTGGTGTTCTCGCAGTCGAGGAAGATGCTGGACATCATAGAGCACATCTTGTCCCGCAGACGATTCAAGATCATGCGCATTGACGGAACAGTAACACACCTAACAGAGCGGGAGAAGCGCATCAACGCCTTTCAGAGCAACGCAGACTACTCGGTCTTCCTGCTCACTACGCAGGTTGGTGGCGTTGGTATCACCTTAACGGCAGCCAGCCGAGTGGTGATCTTTGATCCCAGCTGGAATCCAGCTACAGACGCTCAGGCTGTAGACAGAGCCTATAGGATCGGGCAGAAAGAGAACGTAGTCATTTACAGACTGATTACCTGTGGCTCGGTGGAAGAGAAGATCTACAGGCGGCAAGTATTTAAGGACTCATTAATAAGACAGACTACCGGTGACAAAAAGAACCCATTTAGGTATTTCTCCAAACAGGAACTACGGGAGCTTTTCACATTAGAAGATACTCACACATCTGCGACTCAGATCCAGCTGCAGTCTTTGCACGCCACCCAAAGAAAGACCGACCCGCAGCTGGACGAACACATTGCTTACCTGCACTCCCTGGAAATGTTCGGCATTTCCGATCACGACCTGATGTACACGAGGGAAATAGCTCACGAGGAGCAGGTGGAGAGTGAAGAAGCCCATCAGTACATCCAGCGGAGGGTACAGAAAGCCCGTGAGCTGGTGCAGTTAGAGTCCCAGCTCAGAGACCAGAGGATGGAGGGGATCAGAAATTCCTGTGAAGAGACGCGGCAACGGCCACCAGAACTGATTTCCGAGCCAAAGAAGTTGTCTCCGGGGCTGAACAACATGAATCACTTTGTTTCACCACCAGCAGCTGATAAACATGAAAATGACAAAGTTATCGATCTTACCGAGGACCAGGACGTCCAGGTTCTTCATGTCAGCTCCAGAATGACAAGTCTGACTATTGATGACTTGGATGAAGAGAAACAGGCACAAGATGTGTCCGGTATGGATACAGAGCTGCTTAACACTAGCAAGACAGTGGAACAATCCAACGTGCAAGAATCTGAGCAAAACCTTGACTCCAGCATTATCCCATCATCACCTGGACTTCAGCCACTTGATACAGAGAGGCAGAGTCTCGAGCAGAAAAGGCATTCCCAGGTAAACTCAGAGAGCTTGACTGAGGCAGGGAGTGGCCTGTCTGGGCGTCGTCAGCGTTCCTCTAACGAGTCTGGTATGGCTGAGGAGCCCAAACGGTTCCGAGATGCCGAAATGTCAGATCAGGCACCTGACCCGCATCCTGCCTCAGGGACAGGTACGGATGACGTTCCTGAGCTAGCTCTGGCTGCCGCGGTGCCAAGTTTATCAAATGTTACGCCAGAAACCCATGCTGGGCTCCAGAAGTCTCATGTGCTGGAAACCAGCTTGGAGGAGATGTCTGTGCCTTCTCTCCAGGATCAAGTTAACTTCAACCTGGTCTTGGAGGAGTCTGACGATGAATGGCAAGATGCCTCGAATCAGGACAGATCACTGGAGCACCCAGGAAAGGACGGCTGCCAACTGAAAGCAGGAAGTTTTTATAGATCTCCAACAAAAACGTGTCTAAGTGAGGATGGAGACACTGGAAAACCCTGTCACACGGCTGCAGAAGGGCCAAACAACTCCCCACAAGGGAGCGAAGCCTCAGAGGAAAGCAGCGGTGCCTTTGCTTTTGGTAGAAAGAAATCCTTGAGAAGAATTGTTTCAGACAGTGAGGATGAAGACTGTTCCGTTATGGTCATGGAGGAAAACCAGCCAGAAAAGAGGTCCTCTCCCCTGAACAGCCCGCTGCACCAGTTCCTGGAAGGAATTAGTACCTCCACTCCTAAAGGTGACAGAAGCGCAGCAAAAGCCATCTTCTCTCCCCGACTAACTAGCAGCGGTAACAGGTCCACGGCTTCCAGGCGATCCCTGATCAACCAGGTGGTAGACGAGGTTGAGGACATTGCAGAAATCATGGGCACCACTGGTGAAGAAGATGATGATGAGGACAGTGATGAGGAGCAAGACGACCTTGTGGAAGAAGAAGCTGAAGAGTGCAGCGGGGAATCTGCTGAGCCTGAAGAAGAACCTGCTGGAGAAACGCTCGATACAGCCGAGGAATCCTCCCACCTAGACAGCGAGCCCTCCGAGCCCTCCGAGGCAGAGGAGACGGAGTCGTCTCAGGAGGAATCCACTGGCCCTGCCGAGCTTCAGTCAGGTGAGCAGATAGACTACTTCACCCAGGAAAGCGTCTCCGAAAGAGAGTCTGGTCAGAGTTCCTCACCTGCCACAGACGATTACGATGCCTTGGTAGAGAGTGGGAAGAAACTTCAGGATGCTGGAAAACTACAGGAGGCGTTGAACTGTTTCCTGCAAGCTCTTGACGTTAAAAGTGGGGATCCTGAAGTTATGCTCATGACTTTAAACTTGTACAGACAGCTAGCCCAGAAGTGAAACATGTAAGCCTTCAGTCGGTACAGTCTTACTTTTTCTCAGTAAATGTTTGTCTGCACTGCACCACTGATTTCTGAACTAGCTCAAGGCCGATGGTGGCAACAGGCACTTCTTTCATGGTGACCGAGGGAGTTCAGCATCTCCTCCTGCGCAAGGAGGCAGCCGGGGAACCGCACCGTCCGGTGTCGGGTGCTGGGGAAGGGACTTCACTGGGGACTGGGTTCACAAAGATGAAAACAGTTCATGCTCCTGTCTCATTATTGAATAAAAATTCTGCTTTGTCTGAACCCCTCTGCAAGCTTGCAGCCCTGGCTTCATGGTTCTGCCTTCAGAGCCTGTCCCTGCCTCTCTCCTGCGAGGAGGCCAAGGCTGTGCGTCCAGGGCAGCTGCTGTAGTTCCTCCCTCCTGCACTCGAACAGCTGGATGCTGCTGCAGAGGAGAGAGCAGAACTACTGCAGCCTGGTTTGAAGTTGGTCTGAGAATGTATTTGCTGTGGAGAAGGAAAAAAAAAAAGAAACACCCCAAAAACCAGTTGGTTGCTGCTGTAACTCCTCCAAGCACGGGATGCCAGCACAGCCTCCACGTGGTGCTGGGTCTGACACTGAACCACTGCTCCCGTCCCTCTAGCCCTCTTCCCACGTTCAGTTTAGCTGTGGAAGATTAAATATTGCTCTGGGGTGCTGTAGGCATGATGACTTGGGTTCATGGGTCAGAACCAGGCAAGTTTAACACCAGCAGGACCTTGTTGTGGCTTTCAGCAGTGCTCACCCTCCGCCACCACGCTGCCATGAACCGGGCCTGGGTCCGCTCACCGCTGCCCACCTGCCACACGTCCCCTCCTTGGGACAGGGTGGGAGGGAGTTCTGGTGCTTCCTCAGGCCCCGTGCATGTTCAGTGCCCGGCACGTTTGCCTTCTGTATTCCAGCGTGACAGCAAGGGACACGGGAAAATGAGCTGCTGAATCTGAACCCTTTGTGCTAGGAGACGTGACAAACAAACAACCATCCTGGTGGTACAGGAGATGGGCCAATGTGCTTCTGCTAATGGCTATAACAAAGCTCTGGTAGCCTGGAAACACGCAGTTTATTAATAGAGCATCCCTTAAACGAGGACACATCTGCTCCCAGCCTGTAGAAAGGGCTGTCTGCCTTTCCTAACAAAATATTAACCAACTAGAGCTTTGCAATCATTCCTCTGTGCTTTCCGCACAAAACAAACATCCCAAAAAGGGAGGGAGGAGAAAAACCTGCCCTGGGTTGGGTCTCACCTCTCGTACATGCTCTTGGGAAAGGCCTTTTGTTCTCTCTGGTGATGCTGCGGATCGTCGCCTGCAGACAGAGCCGGTGTCCAGTGGCAGAACGTGCCTCTTGGAGCACCCGGGGATCACCGGGCTGGGGCGTTTATTGCCGAGACCCAGGGGGTAGGAGACGCAAGGCGCTGCCTCATCCGCATCCATCACGCTGTCCTCTGGGTGGTTTCACCAGGACGAGGCGCAGGCTGCTGTGCTTGAGCCCTGGACCGCACAGCCAGCAGTGGGGGAACACAGCAAGCGCTCAGCGGCTTTTCTCTCACTCCAGCCCAAGTTACAGAGTTTCTTCCCCCAGCTTCATGTGGGTCAGAGGCAGCTTTAGGTTCGGGTCACTCTGTGTTCAGGAGGACTCCCCGTCCCACCGCTGCTCGGCCCGGGTGCCCCCAGCCCCACCTGACCCCCTCCTCTGCCAGGGAACTGCCAGAGCCCCCACAGACCCCAGCTGCAGTGTCACCCACCCCCTGCCAAAGGGACTGTCCTCCCAGGCCACGTCTGAGCTCTGGAGCAGGACCTGCAGCACAGGAGCTGTCTGCATCCTCCCTGGCAGGGACAGGGATAAAGATGAAGGCCCGAGGGAACCCCTATTTCCCTTTCTGGCTCATGTAAATTCTCAGATAAAAGCCCGAGCACCTCATTCAGGTGGACAGGTCACTGTCTCTGCAACAGGAATAGCAAGGGGCCAGACAAAGCAGATTTCAACAACTGTGAAAAGCTCTGATTTCACCTTTTCCAGGGAACGCTTTACCTCTCTAGGCAGAGCCCTGTTCCCTGCCAGCTGTAATCTCTGCATCCTGCTGTGGCAGCAGGGCTGGTGGCTGCCTCCAGGCATACTGCTGGGCATCACCGACTCGCTCCAAGGTCCAGGTGCTGGGGAAGCTCCCAGGATTCAAGCACCCAACAAGGCAATGGTCATTCACATTTTATTTTCTGCCTTCCACCATGATAATGTGGTACCCGAACTTTGTTTTGACCGGAGGGTCTGTATACACTGGCTTGTCCATGCTGCTGACGGGCAAGGCGAACGCTGCCTCCTGGAAAGGTCCCACCATGGAGCCTCTGGTCATCCAGCCCAAGTCTCCCTGGAAAAAGGAACCACTGGGGTTAAGCTTTGGGAATCTCACTGCAGCAGTGCAGCATCAGCAGGGAGGGTGGGTGATGTGGCTGCGGGAGAGGAAAAACCTGTCGACAGCATCTGACACACTGCTGTAAGGGAGGACAGCACGCAGAGGAAGAGCTCCTCACACAGGGCTGCCTCTCCGCCAGCCGGCTAACGCCGTGGCAGCTCGGGCTCTGCCCTGCCTGAGCTGTGTGGGTCTCATGCGCCTCAGCTCTGCTGCAAATCCGTATTTCTGGCTGAGCGACCAGCGAGCGCCTCCTTGTGCCTTTCCCCATCCCGCGGGGAATGCTGGGGGTGCTGCGCTCAAAGCTCCCGAAACAATGGGGGCACCTGCCAAGAGCTTCCCAAGAGCGGTCTCCTTCAAGCACGCAGTGCTAACAGCGGCGATGGCCCGCAGGAGACCAGGACCCCGATTGTCCCGTCCCCAGGCCCCCGCGACCCCCCGCGACACTGTCCCCGCTGTCCACAGGCCCCTGCGACGCTGTCCCCGCTGTCCCCAGGCCGCTCCCCTCCCCGAGCACACACCCCTTGCCTGGCCTTGTCCTCGCTGTACTGCGACGCCACTTCGCTGAAGCCCGGGCTTGAGCTTCTCCATGGCCTCCATGGCTCTGCCGTGCTTTTCGCACAGGATGTGCCGAACCTGGGAGAGGGGCAGCGGAACGGACCCGTGGAGAGGGGACCGGCC